ATCATAAAATGTCTGAAGGAGTGCCCTGCGCACACCAAAGGACCTCAGTCTCCTCAACAAGTGGAGGCGGCTCTGGCCCTTCCTGTACATGGCATCTGTGTTGTTGGTTCAATCCAGCTTATTGTTGAGGTGGACACCCAGGTATTTAAAGGTGTCCACAATCTCAGTATCTGAGCCCTGCAAGCTCACCGGCGTGAGTGCTGGTGATTTCCACCGGGGGTCAATCACCATCTCTTTTGTCTTGCTGGTGTTCAGGACCAGGTGATTTTTCTCACACCACTCCACAAAGTCAGTAAGTGATAAAATGCTTGAAGGTATTTTTTAGAATCCACTCAAACTTTATTCTAGGAGCTCCATACTTTTTAACGTGTCACAATTTATGATTCTGTTTCCTAATCCACAAAAATATGGAAGTGGTGGGGGTTTTATTATAAGGTACAGTTCAATAATCAATACATTCATCTCTCATATTCTCAGTAATTTCATTTTCACATACTGCAGTGAACGAATATCTTTTCTTGCATTGTACAAAAGTAACAAGTGGTGTGTCCATTCAGGCTACCACCTCTATTTGGATTAGGAAATGAAACAGACAACTTGGGAAAGAGGTATGCCTTAAACTTGCGGTGAACTCTGTCCACACAGAACATCTGAACTGTATGTTCAGCAAAATGGTAGCACAATCTGTCCTTGAAAAAGTACACACTCCCTGATTCTGTGTACCATCTCAAGACAAAGACTTCTTTAAATGTGGGTGTGTGTAATCAAAAGAGGTGCTTTTTATCAAATCCTCTCTGAAACTTGCATGTGAGACCCATGTGTATATATGACATAGTTCTTTCTCTTCTTTTGAGCCTCTGTAGCAGCCCACGCCGACTGCTCCTTTCTGCAGAAATAAATAAAAGACAGATCTGTCCTAAATCTCTTTATTTCTCACTCGTCATTCATTTTAGCACATAAGGGAAGATTTTTTCCACAACAGGGCCCAGTAATTAGGATTCATAGGTGGATACATAAAGCTCCAAGTGGGCTCTGATTCTTATTCAGCTAATGCGGCTTTTGAAATGAGCCTGTGAGAACAGTTAGATCTAGCCTTCTGCAGCTCTGAAGGTGCCAACTACCCTGAGAAAATGACTCAGATGACATTTGTCTGTTTAGTCTTGAAAACTATACATTTATGAGAGCAACTGTTAAAAAACTGGATGTCTCAAGTTTACAGCAGGTGGGTCAGCATGTAGGATTCATTGTGTTTAGCAGTTTACTCTCATTAGGAACCAATTCAGGACTCTCCTGTCTCAAGTTTGACCTTTTTTTTTTATATCCATCTCTTATTATCCGTGAAATGTCCTTTGATGGTCACTGCCTGCAGACACTACAGTCTGGAAGTATTTGAACAATGATTTTTTTTTCCTGGTTGCGTACTCCACACTTGGCTAAAAATCTAACGAGGGCTACAACAAATGCAATCTTTAAAAACATGAAAGGCTGAAACCTCATTCACCTTACTGTCACCATTTCATTTCAGCTCCAGTGTACAGGAATGCTGAGACCAAACAGTGACTACACTGTACATTCAAATCAGGAAGACGGATCCAGTCTGACCTAAATGATTTCCTGTGCAGTAAAACTGCACACACCTACATCTTACTTACATATTTTTGTGAATTTTCTATGTGCATATTGCTTGAGATTCAAATCAAAAATACTAAAATACCAAGCATTACATAACTAGCAATTTCTAATGAAGCTTCTATCATATGATACATAGGTAAAAATATATTTCAAATGACAAAGTCACTGTTGTCTGTATAACAATGTGGAAGCAGCAGCAGAATCCAAGCCCTACTTACCTGTAGCGACTAAAATGAAAAGAACTGCCCTGCACCATGTTGGGTAAAATTATTAACAAAGTTATACTCTAGGATTGGTTCTAACATTTGATTGAATTAAGTACTTATTTAGTAGAAGATTGACACCATGACTGTTGTTCATTTAACCTGTGTGTTCACTTTGTTTGTGTATAACTATTCTATCATACTAGAAAAGGAATAGTTAAGATTATATTTTAGAATACGTAAGTTCACATACTTACATGTCACAGATATGTTTATGAAGTTACTATTCACCACATTATATGTTCACTAACATGATGAGAAAATAAGTTACTGTATGCACACTGAAAAACTGTGTGATATTACAGGCACATGAGATTAAAAGTGTGGTGCACTGAGTAGCTCTCCAAGGTCTCATCATCCCACATTTCATTAGATTTGTTGCCTTTTCTCCACAAGAGCTCATTATTCCCTCTGAGCTTTGAAGCCAGGGGAGTTAGGGTTTGATAAGATACTAAGATTTACACCAAGGTTATAGTCAGATTTTGGCCTAGAAGAAACAGCTGTCTGGTAAAATAGCTATTTTCATACACACACACACAGGCAGTGCTAGGTTTTCCTCCCTCTCTAGGAAAACTGTCTTTCTTGATTGGAGCAGAAGGGGCCTTGGGAAATGGACAGATGGACCAATGGAACAGCACGAGAGGCACCAGATCAACCCACATTGCACATTTCAAAAATTGTATAAGAGATTGGGTTTCAGGCAGGTAGGTGTTCCCTCTTGTCCTGAAGACGAGCTGAACGGTTTTGCTGTTTAGGGTCAGGGCTTCAGATAGAGACGGAACCCAGAGCTCTGTAAATTGCTTTATTCGATAGTCTATTCAATTGTGATAATAAATGTTTAAAATTGATACTTGACTCCGATTATTCTTCATAAAAGAACA